TAAGATTGATTGAAATGATGTTCACCATGTACTAGGCCCAAGAGCCACTCGAGGTAGAGGGTTACAGAGTAAGATTGATTGAAATGATGTTCACCATGTACTAGGCCCAAGAGCCACTCGAGGTAGAGGTTACAGAGTAAGATTGATTGAAATGGTGTTCACCCAAGAGCCACTCGAGGTAGAGGGTTGCAGAGTAAGATTGATTGAAATGATGTTCACCATGTACTAGGCCCAAGAGCCACTCGAGGTAGAGGGTTACAGAGTAAGATTGATTGCTTTGTTTTCTATGGCTTATCAGCTTTGCAGTTTATGTTATGCCAGAAAATACATTTAGATTGTAAGAATTTTCTCTCTCTTTTTAGATAATAATGATTTGGTGATAAAACTTTTAGTAATTAACCCATACCTCTGGGGAGAAGAGGTGGAATCATATCATTTCCATGGTTATTTGCGTATAAGTGAATATAACAAACCCAACTGGAATTGGAAAAAAACAACTCCAATTTCTGAGCTGTTATCAATTACACTGCCCACACATCCAAGCTTACAGCACCTGGTATTGACAAGCAGTCACCCATCTAGATACTGACCAGGCTCACTGTTACTTAACTTTGATGATCCTACAGGAACTGGTGTTTCAATGCTTGTGACTGTAAGCTGCCGACAGAATAAAAGGCACAGTCTAAGGGGATACATGGAGAAGATAACAGTTGACCCTGGACTTGAACAGGTTAAGATTATAGGGATCAAGGAATCATCCTCTTGGGTGTCAATTCCCCAAATTAGTGGTTTGTGGGAAGAAGCTGCCCAAGTGGAACTTACATGCCTAATGAAATACAAAGGAAATATGCATGGCTTGATAAAATGTGTGTGGCAAGGCTGAACTTAGCCACAATGGTTAGAAACATCCCTGCCGAACTGCTCATCAACAATGGTGCAGCATTCTGTGGGGAGGTGCTTGCAAGGTTTAAGAGAACTGGGGTGTTCAACTTAGATTCCGATGTGCCTATCAACTATCAGGGAATGGCATCATCGAGAGATGCCATTGCACCATCAAGCTGCTCGGTCAGGATGTTCCATTATGGAGGCGTTATATTGGTATAATGTGACACCAAAAGATGACGCAACAGCTTTGTCATCACCAGCTAACTCTATATATAATCCCGCATAAAGGGTAACAATGTTGCTCTACCACTTGAACACACAGATCCTGGAATCTACAGAGTGGGAGAGGTGGTATGGGTAAAGACTCTACATGGTTGATGTTCAACACATGTCAATCGACATCTCCAGTTGCCTTGATCTATCCACTACCCTCATCCTTTCTTCTATCACTCCTATCTGATCTTGCTCTAAATTTTCTGTAACCCCTTGTGTCTTAGTGGCTTCCTGCCTTGCTTGGGGTGAAATGCTTAAAAAAAAAAAAAAAAAAAAACAGTGACAGAGGTCTACAGCCAACATTCAGTTCTCATCAATGGAACACCATGCCATGCCAGAGACCTTCACCTGCGTCAGAGATCTGCATTGACGGAAGATGATGGCAGTGATAAGTCATCTGGAAGTGACTCAAATTCGTCGCTGTTTTTTAGTGGAGGGCCAGATTATTCTTCTACGGAATCAGTGGAAACAGATGCTGAAGATGACGATGATGATGCCAATAACAAAAGAGACCAAGTGAGCACAAATGCAGAAGAGACTGGCAGATGCTGTCCATCTTTGCGTAGAAGCAGAACAAAGAAATGTAGTTTACCTGAACACTTTCCATGGAGATAGTGATAGAGCAGCAAGAGGTTGCTAAATTTTGTCTGTGAGTAAGGGGTTAAAGAGTGAAAAATAATTCGCCATCCACAAGGATGTAGAGATGCTTTTGGACTCTACTGAGACTGGAAAGTTAGAACTGGGTAGCTCTTTCCCATATATGGCAGTAAAACTTCATTTTTGGTCTGATCTGGCTCATGGCAGGAGGATCCAGGTGCTTACTGGAGCAGTACAGGCAACCAAATATTTTTCTTGCATCTTCAGCAATGAATCTTACGTTGAGTCCCACTTGAAGTCTGGGTTGAGTTTAAGTCGGTAATATGATAAAGAAAAATTGGCTGGTTACACAGGGTACGGCAAAAATACCTCCCACATATACCAGTGTAACAGCAAAACTGTCCAAATCATGTAACAGCAAAACTGTCCAAATCATGTAACAGCATAAGTGTCCACTCCACAAAATGTTTAATATCTAAAAAAAAAACATTAAACTAATTGAGTTTTTTTCCAGGTTTCCAGATAAGATGTTTAACCATCTTGACACCATTTTTCGTAAGAATCACTGAAAAATCCTTTAAGTTATTCAGCTAAAAAGAGACCAGGTTAAAATTGTTTTGTATCAGACCCATTGACTTCCCAACTGAGCAATGATGAGAGGAAAAAGATCATTCAGGCCTTCAATAATGGTACAAACATTCATTCTCTGGCTTCCATCTTCAAATCTATTCAAGAACCATCAGGAGAACAGTGAATAAGTTTAAAAAAGAAGGAACAGTAGAGAGGAAAACTGGATCAGAGGTCACAACTGGAAGAGGGATCATTATTTGAACTTAGAGCTAAAGAGATCAATTAGAAAAGATCCAACTCAGTTCATAAGACGTTTGACACATGAGAGAAGAGTTTCAGCTATGACAGTCCAAAGAACAGTTAAACAAAAGACTTGAAAAGGAAATTGTACGTGAAACATGTGAGGCACCTTGTTACACCAGGACAGAAAGTTAGAAGGTTAGAGAGGGATGAAAATGATCTTATGTTGGAAAATGATTCTGAATAATATATATATATATATATATATATATATATATATATATATATATATTTGGTTGGATAGACATGTTTGACGATTTCATGCTTTGGCGTGAAACCCAGGGTCACAAACTCACATCTATCCAACCAAATATGTTAGCTCTATCTCTGATATTGAGCGCTTTCTTATAAGTATCATGATATAATATAAAATAATTATACATATATATATTTATTTATATTTATATACACTTTTCATATATATATATATATATATATATATATATATATATATATATATATATATATATATTTGAACTTTATTCCAATACTTCATTTCATTTGATAAACAAACAAGAAATCATAATGTGGATATAAAGTGGGTGGGGTTCAATTGTATATTACAATCAATATATAAAACCGATTCCTCACTTTGTGGCCACGGTAGTTTCTATACATATATTACAGAGAATGTAAATAAATCTAAAAGACACATCTGTGTAGCTAATCAGTACTTAGTTGATTTGGTTGATTCATTTTCTATGGCTTATAAACCATTTGCAGGTTATTTAAAGCCAGGAATGTTTTAGTGGTACAAATCTTACTAATTAACCCATAGCTGGGAGAGAAGAGATGAATTCATACCTTGCCAAGTGTATTTGTGCATAAGTAAATATAACAAACCTAACTGGAAGTGGAACTTGGCTCTCTGATTAACAATTTTGAGCTGTTATACATACACCACACACACATCCAAGCTTACCATACTTTGTATTCCAAGCAGTCACCTATCTAGGTACTGAACAGGCTTGACGTTGCTTAACTTTATGAAAGCTGGTGTTTTAATGTGATATGGCTATAAACTATGTCTTTAACGGATTTTCACATCAGTATATAATCATTTAAGGGCAACAATTTGACATATTCTTTGGAATCTTCTTCTATGGGCCATGTCTCTTTATGACGTTGGCGATCATGGCACTCCACAATTTCCTGTCTGTGGTAGCTTTTAATAAATTTTGTCTTTTTGCGATCTCTCCTAATCCCTGCTCCACCATAAATTCATTCAAGTAGGTAGATTAAACATTGTTTTTTCTATCTCTCTTGCCTTCAATCTGCCCTCTGAGTATTCAATTTTCCAAGCATTCTTTCCTCAGTATTTGCTCTAGAAATTGCAACTGTCTCTTCCTGATATTAAGTTATAAGTGACCTTTTTGTTTACATAGAAAAAACTTCAAACTATATTTAAACAGTAATTAAAAAATTAATTTGTCTCTAAAAAAAAAAAGTGTAATTTTTAAAAAGAATCATCGATTTTCAAAATGTGGGATAAAAATTTGTCAGTTAATTCAGGACATGTCCTTCAGCATCAAAATGTGGGAAAATCAGGCTTTTTGAAAGATGGTTGGCATCCTTACATGCCTGTATGTGGGTGTGTAAGCAACAAATATACTGGCAGACAGGCAAGCTAAAAATACACTTTGGCAGACGGGCAGGTTGTTGCAAATAACTGAAAAAATTCAGATGAGTTAAGAAATATTTTTATCTTGAAAATTTTTGCTGCTATAATTTAAATATTTATCCAACATGATTCTGTAAAATATCTAAAGTCTATAAAAACATAGCTTCTAATTTGATTTTGTAAAATATCTAAAGTCTATAAAAACATAGCTTCCTGGGTTATTAAAAAGAAAAACAAAAACGAAAACCATATGCAGAAATTTGAGGTCAGTAACAAATTGACCAATTAAAATTAATTATTTCCATAAAATAAAAATATTCTTTTTCAGTCAGCAGGAAAGGAAGTATTAAAAATAGTCCACAAGAAAAGAAGAAATTTTTTTTTTTCCCTAAAGTTCTTCCTTTACCAACCAGTTCTTCTAACTGACCACTTCCTGCAATAAGGGGAAAAAGTTCCAGTATATAATTATTTCTTATTTATTACCCTAAAGCCAATTAATTCTCTAACTCCCCCACCCCTGCTGAAGAGGCAGAGAGACTCCAGCCTGCCCATAATATAGCCAAATATAGGAAAAAGGAATTGGTCAGTAATCTGTAGGCAGACTGAAATGTTATATTTCCACCCACAACTGGTTTCTGTGGGGTACTTTGGAGTCTTCCCAAGGAACACAGACAACAATAGACTTTGTATATATGTGGAATGGTCTTATCTTACCATTTCTTTTCTTTCTTTCTGCAGATTCCACACAAGATAGTTTTCACTCTTTATTTGGTTCTTTCTTTCATTCTTTCTTTCTTTCTTTCTTTCTTTCTTTCTTTCTTTCTTTCTTCATGACTTGTACAGATTCCAGAGAAGATATTTTTTATTTATTTTTCATTCTTTCTTAATTTCTTTTTTTTTTTCACCAAGTCCACATGTTTGTTTCTTTTCTTTTTCTTTATATCTTTGTGCAAATTCTTTTTCTTTCTTTCTTTCTTTCTTTCTTTCTTTCTTTCTTTCTTTCTTTTTCTTTCTTTTCTTGAATTTTTCTTTCTTTTTTTTTTCTTTCTTTCTACACTTTTTTTCTTTCTTTCTTTCTTTTTTTTTCTTTCTTTCTTTTCTTTCTTTCTTTCTTTTTTTCTTTTCTTTCTTTTTCACACTTTCTTTTTTTTTTCTTTTCTTTCTTTTCTTTCTTTCTTTTTTCTTTTTCTTCTTTCTTTCACATGCTTTCTTTTTTTTTTTTTTCTTTCTTTTCTTTTCTTTTCTTTTCTTTTTTCTTTCTTTCTTTCTTTCTTCTTTCTTTCTTTCTTTCTTTCTTTCTTTCTTCTTTCTTACACCAATTTCACACAAGCTCTTTTTTTCTTGCTTGCTTTCTTTCTTTCTTTCTTTCTTTCTTTCTTTCTTTCTTTCTTTCTTTCTTTCTTTCTTCTTTCTTACCTTTTTTTCTAGCTTTGCTTGCTTGCTTGCTTTCTTTCTTTCTTTCTTTCTTTCTTTTCTTTCTTTCTTTCTTTCTTTCTTTCTTTCTTTCTTACACCAATTTCACACAAGCTCTTTTTTTCTTGCTTGCTTTCTTTCTTTCATTTCATGCCAGCTTCCTTTTCCTTTCTTTCTTTCTTGCTCAGATGCCATGATATACTTTCTTCCCTTCTTTCTTTCACCAATTCCACACTAGTTCTTTCTTTCTATCATGCTTTCTTTCTTTTGCAAATCAATTGTATCATTCTTTCTTTCTTCATCACTTTCTTGGTTATATCTTCCTTTCTTTTCCAATGGTCTGCCTCATGGCTGAGATAGTTGGATCTTCCCTACTGTTAATAACTGTGGATATTTGAATCTAAATAAAAGCTAGAATCTCATATACTAATTTTTCAATCAGGCAGGCTGGTTTCCCCTACCTAAAAAAGTTATAGATATATAATCTTACAATCTTTCTTTATCCTTGTATCATTGAACTCACAACAACTATCCCTGGGTTAGGTAGTGTGTACTTGCACACAGTGGAAACAGGTGAGCAATAACTGAATAAAAATAAGAACTAGATGATATCCCTAGACATTAGCAGTGGAATTAGAGCAGTTTATCCCCATAGATTAAATAAAAGGTTCAGTTCAGAATTCCCTGTATGTTACTCAGATCGATATACACCTGAGCATGGGCACAAAGGCTGAAAAATTGTGATAACAACAACAAAGATAAGGACAATAGTCCACATGTAAATAGTGTAAATAATGATAACTCTTCATCCCAGAAATTTAGACAGAAGGCGATCAGGGGATAATAACAAAAAAGATGAGGATAATAGTCCGAATGTAAATAGTGTAAATAATGATAACTCCTCATCCCAGAAATTCAGGCAGAAGGCGATCAGGTGATAATAACAACAAAGATGAGGATAATAGTCCGAATGTAAATAGTGAAATAATGATAACTCTTCATCTCAGAAATTCAGACAGAAGGCAATCAGGTGATAATATCAACAAAGATGAGGACAATAGTCCGCATGTAAATAGTGTAAATAATGATAACTCCTCATCACTGAAATTCAGACAGAAGGTGGACAGGGATAAAAACAACAATGATGAGGACAATAGTCTGCATGTAAATACTGTAAATAATGATAACTTTTCATCCCAGAAATTCAGACAAAATCTGTCTGTGTTTTTTTTATTAATGTTTAGTCAATATAAAGCTCAAGAGCCACTCAAAGTAGAGTTTGCAATGTTTATCCTTCAGTGTTTTAAAATGACAGTTATTGCCTTGATACCACTATTACTGTATACACTTTTGATTCTCTTCAAAAGCGATGATTAGAACATTAATAAAACACAAAGTGGATTTATATATTTTCTTTTTTTTTGAGAACTGACAACAAAGATGTTAAATAAACCCTATTTAAGTATTAAATTGCTTATTTGCAAGAATACTTTTACATTTACAAGATTATAAAAATATGTGAACCAACTATAATGAAGCATTTATTATTTACTATTTTATAAAGAAATAAATATGAAAAGGATTTTTTTTATTCATAAATTTATAAAAATGTCTGTGAACAAGAAAATTTAAATAAAGATATGAGTTACTGTAATTATAAATTTTAAAAAAATGCATTTTCTGGGCATTTTTTCATTTGCTCTTGCCACGTAAATTCATGGAAATAATTTCATAGTTATTTATAAAATAGTAAATAATAAATATTGCTTTGTACTTGGTTCACATATTTTTATAATCTAGTAAATAAACAAAGGAGTCACAAGTGTATACAAAAATAGTGGTGTCAAGAGAATAACCATCCCTTTGATATGTAGGTGGAGAAAAGGTGGATTCATACCTTTCCCAAGGGTATTTGCATAAGTGGATTTATATATTTTCTTTATTCTTAAGAACTGACAATGAAGATATGAAACACTATTCATTACATTGTTTACTAGCAGTAGAGCCCGGTGTTGCCCGGGGATGTAACAATAAGAGATAGATCAAGTATCGACCATCATAAAGACTGAAAAATAAAATTGACAAAGATTATTGTTTAAGGTTGATGGACACGCATGTCTTAATTAGTTTTATTTTTTTTATTTTTTTATGAATTGGTCAAACCCAAACTCAAACAAAAACATTGTTTTCAATTGTTATGAGTCTACCGATTGAATAGAATTTTATTATAAACAATTGTCTTGTAAATGGAATTTTTAAAGCATTCTGAATGTAAAAATAAAGAAAAAAAAGTGTGCAAGACAATAAGAAACACTTCCTGCCAAAAAAAAGTGAAGTTTTTTTTAAATCGGTTGAAAAATGTAAGAAATCCAATCCCATATATAAACGAACACACACACACACACACACACACACACACACACACACACACAAACAACCAACCTGGTTTTATAATAAGTATAACTCGATAACTCGATATTAATAAGTATAACTCGATATGAGTTGTCCCCCTTTCATTAATGCCTCTTAATTGTGTTTTCAAATTGATTTCATACAAAAACAATTGCGTTTTTCCAATTTTTGGCACTGTCAGAACTATCGCAAGGTAATTTTACGTAGTCCTGTGAAGTTTTGTTGAAATCGGTTGAAAAATGTAGGAAATCTGATCCAATATATAAACGTACACACACACACACACACACACACACACACACACACACACACACACACACAATCTGTGTTTTATATTAAGTAAGATTTACAAGAATACTTTTATATTTACAAATTATAAAAATATGTGAACCAACTAAATAAATATTTATTATTTACCATTTTATAAAGGAATAAATATGAAAAAAATTTTTTTATTCATAAATTTCTAAAAATATTTGTGAACAAGAAAATTTTGATAAACGCATAATGAATAATTGTAATTATAAATTTTGAAAAAAAATGTAATTTTCAGGCATTTCTTTCATTTGCTCTTGCCACATAAATTTACTAAAATAGGTTGAGAGCATCTCTTCATCTGAACTAAACATTCTTTAATTTTAGATTTTAGGCAAGACCACAAACACTCAATATTTTCATTGTGTATCTCCCGATTCATTGGATGGTCAAAGTTTTCCTTGTGTATAATTACAGAATGTCTGTAATTTCAACTTCACTCATCAGTAGTGTTTGGTGGCTTAAAAAGCAATGATTAGAATTTTATTCTTTATTCTTGAGACATGACAACAAAGATGTTAAACACTATTTATTTATTAGATTGCTTCTTCAATCTGTTGGAAGATTTTCTTGGCATTTTTTTTAAAATAGACAACATTTTAGAACATTTTTAACCAAATATATCGCTTTGCAAATTTCTTTCTTTAGAAAATGGTAAATGCATTCCAAAAGCTAAGCAGAGTATTAAGAAATAGAAAAAATTTCATTAGAAACAAAGAAAAGAATACTGAACTGTTACATGATATCAGTTCTTCTATATGATAATGAATGCTGGACAATATCTTCAAAGATGAAGAAGAGACTTGAAGCAAATGTGGTTCTACAGAAGGATGTTGAAGATTCCATGGACCAAACATGTGAGCAATGACAAAGTTCTAGAAATAATGGCAGCAAAAAGGAAACATATAATTAACATTAGGAAGAGATAGTTTAAATTTATAGAGCATTTTAATGAGGAAAGAGGGCTTGGAAAATCTGATACTCACAGGTAAGAGAGACAGAGAAAAACAATGCACAACCTGCCTGGCAAGCTTGAGTAAACAGCTGGCAGAGGTGTTTGGGAGAGGTGGCAAAAAAATAAAATTTATTAAGAGCTACAAAGGGCAGGAAATTGTGAAGATTTCTAGGACACATAATGAAGAAAGAGGGCTTGGAAAATTTGTTTTTTCTTGAAATATTTGATTTGAAATTTCCAGAATATTAACAACTATGACAGATACCTAAAGATGGCTGGAAAGTATAATGGTCAAACATCTTTGATTATAACAATCAAGGTAGGGAACACCAATCAAAGTAAATCAATGTCTTGTAATAATTGAGAATATGCAAATCTCAGCCATGCCGCAAGATATTAAGAAATCTACAATTTTTAGTCCTGATTTTCAAGGCAAGCATGATTATTTTCATGATCAAAAAGTTTGGAAGATGATGTCACACAATCTCCTTAATTTTATTCTTTGACCACCTTTGGTTTTGTACTTTATTATAATGAGCTTACAGAATTTGTATTCCTTTTCAAAGATATTCCTTTGGTTTTTTTTCTGTTTTCTCTTTTTCTTATTTTTTTCTTTATTCCTATCTCTCAATTTTCACCTGTCTTCCTTCCTTTTGTTTTTCTTTCTTTCATTTTTCTTTTTGCTCTTTTCCTCCTTTCCTTTCTTTCATTTTTCTTTTTGCTCTTTTCCTCCTTTCCTTTCTTTCATTTTTTATGTCTCTTTCATTTTAAAATGCTCTTTTTTTATTTCCTTTTTAATCTCTTTTTCTTATTTTTCCTTTCTCTATCCTTATATTTTTTACCTCTTTTTCTTTTTTTTGTTTTCTCCTTGTATATTTTTGGTATTTTCTTTTAAAACTGATTTTTCTTTTTTATGTATAAAAATTTTTCTTTTTGATAATTTTTTTTTTATTTTTCTCTTTTATTATTCTTTCCAGTCATTTTCTTTCAACCAAGAATTTTTCCTTAGATTTCTTCCTCTCTTTCATTTTTCCTTCTTTTTTTTTTTCTTCTTCTTCTCCTTTTTCTTCAGATAACCAATCAGGATTGAAAGTACCAATACAAGAGATGTAAGGGAGGGAGGGAGTAGACAGAAGTTCAGCAGTGAATTTGGTAACATAAAACTCGACACTGAAAGCAAAATCTGTGAGAAAGTTTGGAATATAAAGCAGATACTCACACAGCCAACAGGGGAGCAGTTAAAATTCCTGGTTATAGTATGATGACAACCAAACCAAAAATAGAAACAATTTCAACTTCTCCACATTTCAACAGTTCACCCCAGCACATAGCTTCTTTCATTATGACTGCATAATGTAAAGATAGAAAATTGAGGTTAAAGGTAATGTTTGGTTCTGCCATTGACAGTCAATTCTCTGGAAAAATCTGTTTAATCATTTACATGTAGCTGATATCTTCCAAGAATTTCTTTGTTATTGCAGCAGTGGATATGATAAATTGTGTGAGTCTTGGATCTTCTTTTTGTCATATTGAACTGAATCTTGATTCAAGACAAT